TTATTCACAATTTGTTTAGTGTCCCAACTTTTTTGGAATCTGGTTTGTATTTTAGAAAATAAAGTGTAATTCTTACTAAATTCATGTATCATCTAGTCCAGGGGTCTGCACCCTTTAAGAACAAAAGAGCCATTTTTACACCTAGATTCACTACATTAATTGTGTCCAGAGCCGCAACGACCTGTTACAACTGTGATTATCAGCTGGTGGCCCATGGGCCACTTTAGGTTTGTTGGAGGAGACTTTTGTGACCAGTAGGAGTGACATTATAAAGCTAAAAATATTTAATGATTTTGAACATTTATTGGTATTTTTACAATTTAAGACAAATGAAAAGACCAGATTCTTGTGTGTGTGTGTGTGTGTGGGGGGGGGGGGGTAGCTTTTTAAAATAATATAATTAAAAAAAAAAAAAAAAAACTATGAATTGCAGACCTATGTGATTTTTTTATTTTTTTTTTTAACTGTGGAAAAAACAAGTGTATAGAAATAAAGCAAAAAAGTTAAAGTGAGTATTTGCAAAAGAAATGGCAGGAAAACAGCTCTAACATTTTTTTTTTGTTTTGTTTGTTTAATAGCCAATAAAATTCAGTTTTATTTTAGTTTCGGTCAAAGCTTGAAAGCGCCGCTGCGGAGGGACCAAAGCTCCACATATGGCTCCAGAGCCGCAGGTTGCAGACCCCTGGTCTAGTCCAAACGAGGTCAAGATTAGAGTGGATTTCTGCTGTATAAAAACAACTCCAGTCTCAAATGTTTCATACAAAAGTTAGTTTGGAAATCATCAGTTTTGTAAAGCAGTGATTTGTTTTTAATTCTGTGGTCATTTGGAGGCACCAGTAGCCTCTGCTGTTGCTAACGTTAGCCTTTTAATGAGCCTGGGGCACTTCTTGCAGGATTATCATGATTTCTGCTTAAACAACTGCATAATGCGATATTAGCAGTAATGTAAAGATTTTTTAAAAAAAAACAGTTTTAATGTGAGCTGTTGTGATTTTTCTCAAATTGGAATTGTTTTGAAATGACATAATAATCTATCAAACTAATAAAAATACATAACTAATAAATATTTTGTGCAAGAAAACTTATATCCACTATAGCTGATGGGCAAGTAAATAAGTTTATACTGCTTCCTACTTCTTCTCGATCAATAAAATGCAAGTTTTTTTTTAGATTCAGCAGATTCATGTACACACACTTGTACACATCTGTTTGTGTACTTTGCATTTATGCATTTTTTGTTGTAAGATCATTTTAACCTGCTTGACAAAAATCAAAATATAAAAACAGTCATTCTCTTTGGTCTTGGCACCACTTGGATTAGCTTGTCAGCTTGATCAGAATTTCACTCTCTGTCTCTCCAAACTGCGATTATTCACAGACCGATCTACAATTGTTCTTAACGTTTCCACAGAACCCCGCTTCAGAAGTTTTAAAGTATTGTTTTAAATTACTCCTTTTATTTTGAGGGGACGGACGTCAGGATTCATCCCCCTGGTTTTAACCATCACTTCCTTAGCCATCCAGAAAAAGCAGCTTTTGTTTGTAAGTGTTTACTGTGGTAGCAGTCAGTTTGTGCCAGTAGCCATAAGCAATAAACCTGTGGAAGAAATACAATGTCCATGCAGCCAAACTGCAAATACACTAACAATACAAAACAAATGTATTCTCAAATTGTACTTGTGTTATTTCATCCAAATGTTAAATTATATATGCCAATGAAGGAGCTCTAGAAGCACCAACTGTAGGCCTACTTTTCAATAAATTCAGTGGCATCCATGTATAATGCCTGTCCACAAATAGACTGCATTTATTCAAATTTCTCCAGGGTAAGTTGGTGTCAGCAACATGAACAGAGACGTGAAGATGATTGTTTCATATTTACATCAGCTCATTAAACAGACTTATCATCCCACAACTCAAAATAACTATATAACAGGGTGTAGAATATTTTTGGCTACAAAATAATTTCTTTAATAAACAGTTGACCATTATCTTTTGAAATAAAGCATCTTGTGTCATTTCTGAGAAGCACATGTTAACACAGAATCACTGACCTTTTGAGTTATTTTTTGTTGCATGTGCTCTGTTTCATGTCACACTGTTTGTCCTGTGCTGGTTTAAAATGCACTCTTTGTCTTTTGCCAGTAGAGTCATGTTATGGCACTTAAACGTACGTTTTGTATGAGTGCACTGTTAAAGATGTACCCCATTAGCACGTTTAATCACAACCACCGTTGCTTCCCTACGTAGCATAATTAATGTGTTGCATTTTAATGTTGGTCGTCACCCAATCACTCCCTGAATTCATACAGAGAAGAAACCATGTTAATAAAAACGTTCCCCAAACGTAAACTACAAGTCTGTTTCCTTCAACTAAAACTGCCAGCTGATCTGCTTTCTTTCTTTCTTTCTTTTTCTGTTTTCTTTATTTTTCTTTCTTTCTTTTTCTTTTCTCTTTGTTCTTTCTTTTACTATTTTCTTTATTTATTTTTTCTGTTTTTTTCTTTTTGTCCTTTTTTCTTTCTTTCTTTCTTTGTTCTTTTTCTGTCTTTCTTTCTTCTTTTTCTTTTTCTGTTCTTTTTTCTTTTTCTTTCTTATTCTTTTTTCTTTATTTTTCATTCTTTTTTTTTCTTTTGTTTTGTTTACTGTCTTTCTTTTTACTTTCTTTTTTCTTTTCTTATTATTTTTCTTTCTTCTTTTTCTTTCATTTTTCTTTTCTTTCTTATTCTTTTTACTTTTTCTTTTTTCTTTCTTTTCTCTTTATTATTCTTCTTTCTTTATTTCTCGTTCTGTTTTTCCTTCTTTCTTTTTCTGTTTTTCTTTCTTTCTTTTTCTCTTTCTTCTTCCCTTCTTCCCTTCTCTCTGTGTGTCTGCCTGCTTGTCTTTAGGTTCAGATAGTGCACAAAAAGCTGGACTTCAGCCACATCACCTCACGCTGTGGCTCCAAGGACAATATCAAACATGTCCCTGGAGGTGGCAATGTAAGTACTGCTGGAGCTGAAGGCAGACTCTGGTCAGGGTGGACACATTTAGATCAGTAGTTGTTTTTTAATTTGATCCCTCCTTGCAGTCGGTTTGGATTCCTGCATGGTAATTAGTATTCTTGGCCTGGTTTCATGCCATTTCTCTTGGCTGTCTGTGTGCATGTCTCGTACATGTACAGCCCTTTTGTTACTTTTAAAGCACATCAGACCGTCTCTACATTTTGCCCTTGTCTAAACAATTATGAGCTTATTCGCCACATTTCAAAACAAATCATATCACATCACTTGGATGTAAAAACAGTGAACTGCCTCTTTGAATTTCCCCTGATTGGACCTCTACGGACAGATTTAGAAAATCTGAGCATTCATCAAGGAAGGAGCAAATTAAATTCAGCTATAAAGGCCTCACATCCTGTACCAAACGTTTAATTGAAAACGCACCGTTTTCAAAGTGACTAAGAATGAATGCGTTGTAATTAGCATATCAGTGACACCTACTGTTTGCTCTTTTGATTGATTTCACTTTTGAGTGTCCACCCTCCAGAGATTTTTCCATCTGCTCTTAACACCTGTTGCACTATCTGCTTGCACCTTTTGGCTGCTCTCACAACCACCGCTTTACCATCTTAGGCCAATTAAAGAAATATAAAAGGTGTGCTCCTAAATCTAAAGAAACTAACAGAGTTTCTGTGTCAACAAAGAAATCTTATGTGCCTGATTGTCTATAAGAGCTTCAGATATACAACAATAAGAGGACTAATTAGACCTTTTTACACAATTTGATGGTGATCTCAGTCTCCATTTTAGGTTTGTTCAAAACAAAAATGCAAAGCATGTTATCTTGAAGTGAGTGTAATTTGCTCATGTTTGAAGGAATGAAATTGAAGATTTGCTCCAGTGTCTGCAGCACCTTTTATTTTCTACACTCTTATTACAAAACACCTCAGTTCTTTCCCATGGTGATTATAATACATGCTTTTTATGTATTTTTGTTTGACATGTGCAGGAAATACAAAATTAAACATAAATGGCATGAAAAAAAAAACAATATAATGTGGATTAACATGCTTATATATTTGTTGCAGCCTTAATATTTAAGGTTTATTCTGCTTTCAGTATGCAAATGCAGTATTATTTGCACCGTAACGTCTCAAATTGTACGTATTTGGTGTAGAGGCAGGGCAGCCGGCTTGGGACCCGAGAGTCCCAGGTTCGATCCCCAGTCACTGCCCATCACGTGGCGTCTCTGGGCAGCACGTCTAATCCCCAAAATGTCCCCCGGGCGCTTTCAATAGCTGCCCACTGCACCACCTGGTGGTGGATGGGTTAAATGCAGAGACTAATTTCGCCATTGTATGGAAACATACAGTGCTGACATTGTGATGACATTATTATTATTATTATTTACAAAAGCTGACTGTAGGTTTGGCCATGTTGTAGTGGTAATGTTGTGAAGTCTTTCATTATTTTCATTAGGGCTTCAACTTGTGGAGCATTTGGGTAAAAGTCCTTTGTCAGAAAGGCAGTCAGAAGTAAAGATGATGTGTGCACTGATGGACTCAGTCGGCCTCATCGTTAGATCTCCAGTCTTGTACAGATTTCTTAATGTAACTGATTTTGAGACATAAACAAGTCGCCCGCTGTATAAATCCATGCCCACTGCTCGTGATTAGCAGTAAAACCTCTCACGTTATGAAAACAGTCTAATAATTGTCTGTTTTTATGTATACATTTTTATCTTTTCTGGTCTGTTTGTATAAAGAAGTGCCTCTCTTCCAACCTTACAAATAAACAAAAAAACCTGTGACATTATACTTGTCAAAAAAATAGGGGACAGTATGCTTACTTAAAACGCTTGTGTTGTGTTGCATAACTTTTTTTTAACGATGCATTGTTAATCATTTGAATGCTTCAATTAGTACATATTTTGTCAAAGTGGACCAAGAGGATGCTGAAATGCATGTGCAGTGCACTAAATGTGACGTTTTATGAAGCATCATTATCGTCTCTGCCCAGGTGCAAATCTTGAACAAGAAGGTCGACGTGAGCAAAGTGACCTCCAAATGTGGCTCCAAGGACAACATGAAACACAAGCCAGGTCCAGCTTTAAACTCCAGTCCTGTGCATTCATCTTCCTGTTTACCTTGTGTTCTCACATGTGATCGTTTGTACCGCAGGCGGTGGCGACGTGAAGATAGAGTCCCATAAGCTGAGCGTCAAGGCTAAGTCTAAGATCGGGTCCCTGGACAACGTAGGACAAGGCAACGGGCAGACCAATGGACACAAGGTCAAACCTAAAGACTATCAGCGGCGCCTTTAGCTCAAAGACAGTTGACCTTGTCTGTTTCTGCTGATTCACTGTGCTGTTGTTGGCTGACACCACTAGATGGTGTGGCAGTTTGAGAGACTGATAAAAAAACTTTTTTTTTTTTTCTGCCCACCTGTCTGTGTGTGTATCCTTGTCTTCATCTATATTTGGCTGCAGGAAGAGAAAACAGGGGAGAAGACGCCTCCACCCCCGAGTGTTGCTCCAACAACAGGATCGGCAGACGTTACTAAGGCAACAGCACCAGGAGGCGTTGTTAAGGAAAATGGCATGAAGGAGCCCACACCCACTCCTTTTGGGGGAGATGGACTGAGGGAGCCTATTAGCATAGACAAGCGCATTACTGAGACAAGTGGGTGAAAGCACACACACACACACACAACTTTGATTTTAACAGAATTCAAAGGCATTCGTTTGATTTTTAACACACAACTGTCCTTTCTTCTTGCTGTTGCTTCACCTGTCAGACTGTCTTCTTCCACAGCTCCAGTTTAATTATGGCACATGAGCCAGTGTTACTTAGAAGTAATGCTAAACGGAAAAAAGTCCTGTGTTTGCTCAAAATAGTTTGAAATATAGACAGTTCAGAAGTGCATTTTTTTCTGTTTCTATTTTTGTGAGAATTAATTACTGTAACTGGATTTTTTTAATTTATTATTGAAACCAGAGAAATTGCATTTCCTGCAAAAATGCAGTATAAATGCTTAATGCATAAGAACTTGCTGAAAAACAGCTGAAATTAGCTATAAAAAAACATTCTGAAATGTAGCTGAAATGGAAGAAAAAGCCTAAATTAGCAGAAGAAAGCAGAAAGAACACATATTTGCTGAATTAGGTTTAAGTAAGCAGAAATTAGCACAAAAATTAGGAAATTGGGGGGCTGAAATTAGGAAAAAAATAGCTGAAAAAAGCTAGTTGAAAATGCAAAAAGAAGCTTAACTTACCAGAAGGAAGTGGAAAAAACTGAAATGAGCTTAAAAAAGTGGAATTAGCTGAAAAAGCTAAAATTAGCATAAAAAGAGCTAAATAGTAGCTGAAAAAGCTGAAACTAGCAGAAAAGTGCTGAAAGGAGCATAAACAGCTGAAATTGGCATCAAGAAGTTAATTACGTTGAAAGTAGCAGAAATTAGCACAAAACCTTGAATTTACTGAAAACAGCTGAAATTAGCTTTAAAAAAGCTAAAAACAGCTGAAAAGGTAGAGCAAGCTTAAAGTAGCAGAAGAAAGCAGAAAGAACACATTTGCCTAATTGTGCTGAAAGTAGCAGGAATTATCTAAAAAAGTTAAGTATGGTCCTCTGGACATAAAAAACAACAACAAACAAACAAATGTAGCAACGTTTCGTCTTTCATCCAAAAGACTTCTTCAGTCTGAGGTGCTGTATTCAGCTCAGTCTTATAAATAGCACCTTCTCATAGTGGTTGGTTTTGGCTGTCAGCAGCAAACTGGTTGGTCCACTATGATAATGGGATAGTGGGTAATGACAGTGTGACCCGGAGGGGCGTGATTGGGAGGAACGGCCTCTCTGATCTGAACCCGAGCTGTGTTTTGTTGTTGGACTTCTGTGCTAGTCATAGTTTGTCCATCACGAACACCATGTTCGATCATAAGATTGTCCATATATGCACTTGGCACCAGGACGCCCTAGGTCATAGATCATTGATTGACTTCATAGTTGTGTCATCTGATTTGCGGCTGTTTGTTTTGGACACTCGGGTGAAGAGGGGAGCTGAGCTGTCAACTGATCACCACCTGGTAGTGGGTTGGATCAGATGGCGGGGGAAGATGCCTGACAGACCCGGTAGACCCAAACATGTAGTGAGGGCTTGCTGGGAATGCCTGGCAGAAGAACCCGTCAGAGAGATCTTCAACTCACACCTCCGGGAGAGCTTTAACCGCATCCCAGCTGAAGTGGGGGACATTGAGTCCGAGTGGGCCATGTTTCGCACCTCCCTTGTTGAGGTAGCTGCCTTGAGCTGTGGCCACAAGGTTGTCGGTGCGTTTTGCGGTGGCCATCCACGAACTTGGTGGTGGACACCCTGGGTTAGGGAGGCTGTCAAGCTGAAGAAGGAGTCCTATCAGGCCTTGTTGGCCAGTGGGACTCTGGAGGCAGGTGAGGAGTACTGGAGGGCCAAGTGGTCCGCAGCCTTGGCTGTTGCTGAGGCAAAAGCTCGGATGTGGGAGGAGTTTGGTGAGACCTTGGATAGAGACTCTCTGTTGGCTCTGAGGAGATTCTGGCAAACCATCAGGCGACTGAGGAGGGGAAAGCAGCACTTTACTAACACTGTGTTCAGTGAAGGTGGGCTGCTGTTGACCTCAACCAGTGATTCTTCGGAAGGTGGAAGGAATACTTCTTGGATCTTCTAAATCCCACTACCACGTCTTCCATGGAGGAAGCTGAGTCGGGGGACTTTGGGATTGATCCGTCCATAACCGTGGCTGAGGTCGCCGAGGTAGTTAAAAAGATCGGAGGCGGCAGGGCTCCGGAAGTGGATGAGATTTGCCCTTTGCCCTGATTTCCTTAAGGCTCTGAATGTTGTGGGGTTGTCTTGGCTGACATGCGTTTGCAACGTTGCGTGGACATCGGGGGCAGTCCCACTGGATTGGCAGACTGGGGTGGTGGTTCTCCTCTTCAAAAAGGGGGACTGGAGGGTGTGCTCCAATTATAGGGGCATCACTCTCCTTAGCCTCCCTGGTAAGGTCTATTCAGGGGTACTGGAGAAGCGAGTCAGATCGTTGGTCGAACCTCAGATCCAGGAGGAACAATGTGGGTTCCATCCTGGCTGTGAAACACTGGATCAGCTCTTTACCCTCACTAGGGTCCTTGAGGGGTCATGGGAGTTTGCCCATCCAGTCTACATGTGTTTTGTGGACTTGGAGAATTCATTTGAACATGTTCCTTGGGGTACACTGTGGGAGGTTCTCCGTGAGTATGGGATTGGAGACCCATTGTTATGGGCTGTTTAGTCCTTATACAAGCAGTGCGAGACTTTGGTTTGCATTGCCAGCAGTAAGTCGGACCTCTTCAGGGTGGGAGTTGGACTCTGCCAGGGCTGCCCGTTGTCACCGATTCAGTTCATAACTTTTATGGACAGAATTTCTTGGTGCAGCCAGCTGGCGGAGGGTTTCTGGTTCGGTGGCCTCAGGATTCCATCTCTGCTCTTTGCAGATGATGTGGTCCTGTTGGTGTCATTGTGCCGTGATCTTCAGCTCTCACTGGAGCGGTTTGCAGCAGAGTGTGAAGCGGCTGGTATGAGAATCAGCACCTCCAAATCTGAGGCCATGGTCCACAACCGGAAAAGGGTGGATTGATTTCTTCAGGTCGAGGGTGAGGTTCTGCCTCAAGTGAAGGAGTTCAAGTATCTCTGGGTTTTGTTCACGAATGAGGGAACAATGGAGCGTGAGATTGACAGATGGATTGGTGCATCATCTGCAGTACTGCGGACTCTCTACCGGTCCATTGTGGTGAAGAGAGAGCTGAGCTGTAAGGCAAAGCTCTCTGTTTACCGGTCTGTCTACGTTCCTACCCTCACCTATGGTCATGAGCTCTGGGTAGTGACCGAAAGAATTATATAACAAATACAGGTGGTTGAAATGAGTTTCCTCCACAGGGTAGCTGGACTCTCCCTTAGAGATAGGATGAGAAGTTCAGTTATCTGGAGAGGCTCTGAGTAGAACCGCTACTCCTTCATGTCGAGAGGAGCCAGTTGACGTGGTTCGGGCATGTGGTAAGGATGCCCCCTGGGCGCCTCCCTAGGGAGGTGTTTTGGGCATGTCCAACTGAGAGGAGACCCCGGGGAAGACCCAGGACACGCTGGAGAGACTATGTCTCTCGGTTGGCCTGGGAACACCTTGGAATCCTCTCAGAAGAGCTGGAAGAGGTGGCTGTGGAAAGAGATGTCTGGACCTCCCTGCTCAAGCTGCTGCCCCCGCGACCTGACTTCGGAATAAGCGAAAGATGATGGATGGATGGATTTGTTGAAATAGCACAAATATTGTGGAATGAGAAAGATGCAGACTAACGTACAGAAGAAAAATGTATCACAATGTGAATGCTTCATAAATATTCACACTGTTATATTGCTTTTTGAGTTTGTGAAATGTCAAACATAAAAATATTGCATTTTCTTTTAATAATGTGTCACATTCTGTTGTCAGTGAATGCAATGTGAGATTAAGTTACTAAAACTGTCATGTGCTGCTGTTTGGCTGCTTTTATCATGCGCTTACAAAAGGAAACTATTCAGAGTGCTATTTATTCAACCTAAATGAAAAATAATAAAGCTTGATTTTCTATTTTTCTTTAAATCAAAAACAAGTTTTCACATCACTCTTTACGAAACAGGCCAACTCTTATTGTTAATAAAACACGTTGAGCCTTTAAAACTGATCAAATCAAGTCGCAGCTGCAAAAACACGTCAGCAATAACATCTACGGGTTCACTTTGTTGGTTTTGAATGAGCTGATTATAGCTGAATCATTTATTTATTTGTAACAGAACACTAACTAACCAATACTCAATTATTCATTAATAATCTGCTAGTACCCCACTCCAAATGTGTACGTGCACTCATGTGAATACGCACCTATTCTGCATGTCTGCTGCAGTGGCAAAAATAGGCATTTAAATGAATTTCTGTGGCGACTACAGAGCGAAGATTAACTAGTCTAAGATAAATTAATCTTCTGCACTGCAGCAGGCTTCCAGACTCTGAGTTCAAAGGAACACCACCTCCCTCCACCTATCAGTGATGTCAGACAAAGCCTAATTGATGAATACCATAAAATACAGAAATGGCCTGTCATTCAAATCATCCTGCACAAGATGCCGACAACCAGAGACCACCTGCTTGATACAATTTAAAGCCCAACCACGTCCAACTCTGTGCCAGATTTCCTGTTCTTGTGTTGTGTTCACTGACATCAGTGTCCTTGCCCTCCACAGACTGATTCCCAGTGACCTGGGGATTCTGGTGGGACGTGCATGACGCCCCCCTGACCTGCCAGTCGACAGACCAACCAACCCAACACGGCGCAGTCACCTCCCACTGGCCTTCTCCTTCAGTTCTCCCACTGCAGCATCGAATTCACCGATCGCCACCCAGCGTTTCTCTGAGGTTCGCCCTGCCAGCTTCTTGCTACCAACCCTGACCTTTGACCTCTCAGCAACCCCGAGTTGACTTTGACCCTGCTAACTACAAAGAAGACCACTTGGTGTTTGTCTTTATGTCTCTGTGTGGGGGTTATCGGATTAAAAAGATCCTAATTACTACTGATATAGTTCACCTCTACTCAATAATCCTAACCACCCAAACACAAGAAGCACCACTGAGTATACTGAGCAGAACCACGTATATTATATTGTTCAACCTTCGACTCTAGAAACTGTTTAAACACTTTGTTCCCGTCTCCGAGAAAGGTCTGCACATTCTGAAAACTCCTTTATTTCCCTGTCTTGTTGGTAGAACCGTGTTATTACTGCTCTTTGTCCCAAGTTCAGTCCATCAGACATCAGTCAGTTTCACCGAGTCACTTTTATTGCCATTCTGCACCTCGGTACACATTTTAAAAGACCTCTCGTGGTATTACTCCAGTTTTTCTCCTTAAAATTGAACGCGTTAACAATGTTCTTGTAGTTGTTTTTATTCCTTGCTTTACTGATTCCATGACGTTCACAGATAGACTTAAGGTGAATCACAGCTGCTACTGAATGATATATTTAGTAAAAAAATGGCTTTAATGGAATGAAATTAGGTGCAAAAGGATGACAATGGTTGGCAAATGTTCTCAGATTCTGATTGGCCTGCGTGTTTTCCACTAACTCAAAATCACGCTGCTTAAAATTGAAATGACCTGTTAGGGAAGTTTTAACTTATAAGTATTAAACTCTCACAGTCACTACTGCACCTTTTTGATCATGAAGACGCTAATATATACAGAGTGTTTTAGTGTATGAGGCACTTGTTGCAAATAGTGTTCACTATTTGGTCAATTAGTGGATTAACCGTTCTCTTTGGTTAATGCAAAATAAATAAATAACACAGGCCAAATGGTCTTTGTCTAATAACCTACTAGCATTTTTCACTTGCTTTTGAGCTGGTGTTTAAAATGGAGGAATAAAGCTTATTATCAACACCTGTCAGTATGAAATACATATTCACAATATAAGCCACCAATAAGAAAATAATAAATGTTCAAAAAAGTTATGAAATATAATAGTGTTTATCTGAAATGCTCCATAACCAGATCATATATCAAACTTCTACAAAGGTCTGAGTGTTAGAGCTCTGAGAATTATGAGTGTGCAGCTTTTCTGTGTTTAACAGCTCTTTATTCACATTCTGCGCAGAAAGCTAAAACTATAAAACGTTGACCTGGGTTGGTAAAGGTCACGTGGTCTGAGCACAAGCCAACAAACTGTTGTAGATGTTGAAACACTGCACTCTTGTTTTGCTCATGAAAGTATTTAAAAACTATTAATTGTCTTTTTTTTCATGGTTTGTTAAACAATTGGTCCTTGCTCTCACCTGTCATTATGTTTTACATTCAAACCTCCTGTGAGGGACTCCATCAGATACCTGGAGATGTTTCTGTGATTTCTTCAGTTATTAGAGACAGATGCACAGCTCATTCTGTTCTCGTGCACATGCAGCACCTTCTGGTTGGCAGCAGGTCTACAGAGCCTCACCATCTTGTTCAGACCCCCCACTAGGCAGTGCATCAGTGACCTCTGTCAAACCTAATCATTTCACACACACACGTAAGCACACACACAGTCAGCACTCTGAAAGATAGTGATGATGATCTCCGATGATCTGATGATATTTTTAAAACGGCTACAAACTCTGTTGCTCCTTTCGTTATTGTTGGATATTTTCCACAACTTTTTTCCACCTCCTTTCAAACTCGTTCCACTGTCTTTGTCTGTTCTCAAGCTTTTTGGCAGCAATACAGTCGTATTGTTATTGTGGAAGGCTTCTTGTTACTTGCACATTTAAAAAGTACAGACGAGCACTAAAGCAAACATGAGCAGAGGGAGAGCCGGGGTAGCTGCCGTTTAAAGGGAATAATGTTACACTCATGGCCAGTCTGAGGTTGAAACTTAGTTTGCAGCTTTTGATAATTAACTTACACTATATTAAACATTGTCTTGTATTCTGAACCTACTAATATCAAGCTTCTTATAGTAAATACTCAAAAGTATCAGATTAATAGTCCTCTAGTGGTCTGCTGCTGTCAGGCACATATTTTACCCTACATATGTAGTGTAAATAGATGAAGTAAATAGTTTTTTAAATGTTGCCATGTTTTGTTCTGGTTTTTTTTTTTTTACAATTTTGTGCATGTTTATTTAACTTATATAGGATGCCATTTAATACACAGAATGTTCAAAATGAGAGTCGTACTCCGCTGGACAGCAGGAACTGTCCAGCTCCAAAATGCCATGAATGCAGCAGTATTTAGGTGAAGCAGATCCCAGAACAGCCTGCAACTTCTGTTTTTTTGGGTTTTTTTGTCAGTTTCATTCAGTTTTAACATTTGATTGACATTTCTTCTGGAGAAAAAACAAACAAAATCGTCTTTAGCAGGCTACGTTCTGTTTCGCATTTTCTTCCTAACACTGTGATGTGGCTTTGATTCAGACCTAAACAGCTGTCAAGTATCACAACAATAACACTAGTAGGAAATGTCCTCCCTGCCCACGGTAATTCGAGGCTGGGATGGATGGTCTCGGCTGGAAACACTGAGGGATCCGTGACGCGTCTGTGGCGTGCTGCCGTAGTCGTCAGATGTGTGAAGTGTTACTACTGCATCCATCGTGTAGAGAGTGCTGTTCAGCCTCAGAAACACTGATAGTCTGGCGCCGTGACTTCACAAAAGCTGACTAAAACAATATCCCCATCAGAAAAGTAGAGGTCCACACAGCCCTTATTTAAACTAGCTCTATATTATTGTGTCTGGAACACGTAATCAAAATCATATGAATCGTGTACAACTCCCTGAAACAGTCTTGTGCACTTTGAACACATTTCTCAACGCTCTCAAGTGAAATAACTGTACTCAAGTTGCTTTACTGTCTATTGGTAAAACCTTGTCAGCTGTGTACTGTGCGTGTGTGCTTCTGGGAGCTAAACAGTCTTGGTAGTTTGTGAAACTTCTGGTAATCAAAAGAGCAAATACTCAACAATTAAAACCAGACACGTAAAATAATATTTATTACTGTGCTGCTCCCGCCAACCCATTCCCATGAGTTGCCTGAAAGTAACACATGACACATGCATATGTGAAATTAATATGAATAATGTGAACTTTTTTTTTTTTTCTGGAACAAAGTAACAAAGGTATCAAAGCGCTTTGTTAGGCGTAGCTGCTGGATCGTGTATAGGCAAATAGGAGTAAGTTGTATTTTTGTTGTGTGTAAGAAGCTCATTGTAAGAGTGTGACACCATGCAAGGGGATGAGCTGCTGTGTGTTATGGATTAACATGTTGGTACCCCTTTAGCTTAGTGGACTTTAGTGGAACGTGGGTCATTGGTGTTGTGCTGGTGGCTTTAAAGGTTAAACACTCAACTCTCTGTTAGCCCCTTGTGTCGTTCTCCTTCACTGGGTTTTACGTTTCGACCAAGCTGCAAGACCACATTCACCACGAGTTGTGAGCCACGCTGAACCGTTAGTCGTTTTATTTATGTCCTGGCAATAGAAACTTTTTTCTGGTCATAAAAAAAAAAGATTAAAAAAAGGCTGAACTTTAACCAGACTCAACTGTGAGGATGTATTTATTTTAGAAAGTTGAGAGTAAAAAGTAAATCTTTTAGGGTAAAATTTTAGAAATATTTAAAATGATGTCTCCTCTGTGTACAGTGGAAGATGTTTCGTGTCTCGTAGTTCACAGTGAATTATTAACATTTTTCCCAAGAAACAAAACAAAAAAAGCCCAAATTACTTACAATATTTTATTCAAAAACTTCTCTACTTTTCAGATAATTAGGATGTACTGTATAGTGCAAACCAATAAATTAAAAAAAACAAAGAATAAAAATCAAAATATTGAAGTCCCTTTCTCTTTCTATTTAAATTACTAGTTCAAGTTCAAGAATCTTTATTATCCCCAAGGTGCGATTAGTTTCAGTCAGTAGGTACACAAAACATCCATATAGTCAAGACGTTAAGACATTAAAACAGCAGAGATCATCAGTGTTCATTGAGAAGCCTGATCTCTACAGGCATGAATGAGTTGTTCAGTCTGTTCGTTCTACATCTGAGCAGCAGATACCTGCGTCCAGATGGAAGCAACCTGAACTCACCATGGAGTGATGATCAGGATCTGCCAGAATAAGCCTGGCCTTGTTCACTGACCTCGTCTTGTGTAGGTCAGTGAGGTTCTGTAGGACTGTGCCAGCGGTTTTGCTGCACATCCTGACAATCCCAGAGAGTTTGTTTCTGTTACAGGTCAAAAGTCCAAACCAACAGATGAAGGTGAAAGTTAAGAGACTCAATAAAACATTTGCATAAAAGTAGAATCAACATTAAAACCACAGAGCTTCCAATAAAAATACATTCTCTGGTGGGCCTTCTTACAACTGTAGCTATAACTTGTAACAGAAGGCATTGATCATCGTTAATATTCACGGCTAAAACACCACGAGAGTTCATACTAGAGATATTAAAATTGTCTAAAAGATTTATTGTGGTTGTGCAAAAATAAAACGTTTTCAACTTATAGCAGCTATGATGGTCCCAGACTGTTTGTTGGCTAAACACGAATACACTATTGTTATTACGGTACGCATTATTTCATCATATGTTTTTAATTTAAAACAATATTTTTATAGAATGCTAAAATCCAGCTTTGTTTAGTCAATGCTTTGTGTGTTAAATTGTTTAACACTTCTCAGTGATAACACAGACCATTTTATTGTTAAATATGATAGATTTAGTACAATTGCTTGTATAGGCTTGGGTTTAAGACTACATTATTTATTTACTGCTCAGCATTAAATCGTATTGAAGGATGTGAAAAGGTAATGTTGTGTTGCAGCTTGGGCAAAAAGTAGCAACCAGATGGTTTTATTCACAAGTTGTAGCCAGTTAACAACGCCCCTCCACTGGTCTCTCACACTGACCCCTGTATATAAACGCCACTGTGTTTTTATCACTCCAGAAGTATTTGATTAAAATCAAAAAGTAAAAAAAAAAAAAAAATGCTTTTTAACAGGATGTTGTGGATGTTGCCAGCTGAGCGTTCATGAACCTGTTTCTGTTTATCGTAACGATGGTGTTATTATAGGACTGAAAGCATTTGAAAGGAAGAGTCTACTTTTTTCTTTTCTCAGAGTTTGCCTTTTTCCCACCAAGAAAAGGGCTGCTGAAGTTTCAAGAATGTTTTAAAAATGTGTTTTAAGATGCAAGATGACGAATACATGTATGAGGTTTGTCTCTGTCCCGATTTGGAAGCTGGATGAAATGTGAAATCCACTTTTACTGAACTCAAACTGCAGGAAGGGCGGCAGTGTGTGTCATCGGAAGGACCGTCACATTACTTGCAGAACAAAAGTTAACACGCTTCGGTCCATTAAAACAGGAAGTAGATATGCTAGATGGGAACTGTGCATT